TTATTAGTATTATTATTATTATTATTATTATTATTATTATTATTATTATTATATTATTATTATTATTATTATTATTATTATTATTATTATTATTATTATTATTATATTATTATTATTATTATTATTATTAGTATTATTATTATTATTATTATTATTATTATTATTATATTATTATTATTATTATTATTAGTATTATTATTATTATTATTAGTATTATTATTATTATTATTATTATTATTATTATTATTATTAGTATTATTATTATTATTATTATTATTAGTATATTATTATTATTATTATATTATTATTATTATTATTATTATTATTATTATTATTATTATTATTATTATTATTATTATTATTATTATTATTATATTATTATATTATTATTATTAGTGTTGACATTTTAATTGGAATACATTAGTTATATGTTCTATAATTATTAATATTATTATTATTATTATTATTATTATTATTATTATTATTATTATTATTATTATTATTATTATTATTATTATTATTATTATTATTATTACTATTATTATTATTATTATTATTATTATTATTATTACTATTATTATTATTATATTATTATTATTATTATTATTATTATTATTATTATTATTATTATTATTATTATTATTATTATTATTATTATTATTATTATTATTCTGAGGTTTGTAATAAAACTTTATGTAGAATATTTCTTCTTTTGACAATTTCTATCTAATGTGGAATTTTATGTTACTTTCATAAATTAATTCGAAAAAATATCGAGAAAAAATTGATCAGAAAAAATAGGAAATATTTTTGAGTTTTTTTTTTTTTTTGGCAAAATTTGTGCAAATATTTTCTTAATATATATTGGAATAGAAATTTATTTTCTTTGACAACCTATAATGAAAATTGATGAAGAAAAATGTTCTTTTTTTGTTGTTGCCTTATCCTTTTGTAAGGAAGCTTTGTAGGAATTTTCTGCATAAACTCACATAATGTACGGCTTTAACCCTAAAATATGTCTCTAAAATACATGAATTCCTGACATTTAGGTAAGGAGTTTTTGATGTCTTCTGAGACCGATGGATACAATATTATGATAAAACAAAAACTTTGTTCGAGACTTTGACAGGTTACGGCCACGTTTAGAAGGATTTAAAAAAAATTGAAATAAGGGCCAAAAAGACATATTTGGTGACTCGATTGAGGGTTAAGTTTAATTCTCGCATTGTAACCTGATTGACTGATTGATAATCATCGCTCAGAAGAAACGGCTGGAATATTGAAATTTTGCACGAGGGTCAGTCATGGTGCGCATGCGTGACATGTGGCTGGGGTTTGGAAATCCGTACTAAAAGGGTACGAAAAGTACTACAATAAACTAAAAATTGAATACTTTATATTGGACAGACGGAATGAGCTAGAATTTGAAATTTGGAATGAGAGTCACTGATGGAGTGCAGTATGGGTGTACCGAAGGGTTTTTGGAAATTCGTAGTTTAAAGTTATGAAAAGTTCTAAAATGGTACTAAATTTTTAAAAGGGTACCATTTGGTTTTATGTGAACGGATAGAGCTAAAAACTTGACATTTGGTATAAAAACCAAGGTTGGAAAGTAGGGTTAATGTAGAAAGGTGGTTTTTGAAATTTCCACTAGATGTGCGAACAGCACTAAAAGGTACTACATTTGCAACAGCTTGGTTCAGGGGTGAACGGATGAAACCGTAATTTTTGTCATAAAGAGTTCGTTTTGGAAATGGGTACTACAATTTCACGAAAAGTACCAAATAGTACTAGTACAATTTGGCTTTGGGTAAACAGTGATTGAAATCTGAAATTTTGCACTGGGGTCGCTGTTCAAGTGAAGGACATATGGTGGTGGTTTCGGAAATGTGTACTAAAGTAAAAGAAAAGTACTGAATGGTATTATAGTTGGTATTGGGTGAAGGGATATTGATAAAAAAATCTGGAATTTGTTATTTAGAGTACTGTGGTATATGTGTTTGCGATTTGGCGGTGGTTTGGAAATTCATCGTATATTTGTACGAAAAGTACTAAATGGTACTAAATTTGGTATTATGTGGAGGGATAGAGATAAAATTCTGAAATGTGATATAGATGTCACTTTTGGTGTTTGTGGTTAAGAAATGAAGGGGGTTTTGGAAATGCGTCCTATATTTGTACGAAAAGTACTAAATGGTACTAAATTTGGTATTGGGTGAAGGGATAGCGCTGATATAGATGTCACTTTTGGTGTCTGTGGTTAAGAAATGAAGGGGGTTTTGGAAATGCGTCCTATATTTGTACGAAAAGTACTAAATGGTACTAAATTTGGTATTGGGTGAAGGGATAGCGCTGGAGTCTTCAAATTTGATATTGAGGTCTCTGTTGGTATCTGAAATTGACATATGGAAGTGGTTTTAAAAATGTGTACTAAATTGTACGAAAAGTACTAAATAGTACTAAATTTGGCATAGAGCTGAAATTCTGAAGTGTGATAAATATGTCACTGTTAGTGTCATTGGTTAATATATGGAGATGATTTTGGAAATGAGTACTATGATTGTTCGAAAAGTAACTAAATGTAACGGCAATTCATCATTTTTGGTATTTTTGAAGATTTTTTCTAACCAAACTAATTTACATCGGATACTCTTTTTAAATTTTTTATAACCTCCACCATAGTATGGAAATTCTATGTCGATTTAGCAATGTCCGTCCGTCTATCCGTCTGTCCGTCTATGGAAATCAATCTAGCTTCCGAACGAAATGAAGTAGGTTGATAAAATTTAACTCAAACGTGTATTATGACTGCAGAACTTTTGGTATTGAAAATGGGCCATTAGGTCCACGTTTTGGTATAGCACCCATATAATGGTACCTCCTCTTTTTCGGTACTTTGATGATTTAAGCGACATTATTCACCGGAAATGTTTTAAATTTGGTATTTGAAGTTCGCAACGGATGCTTAGACAGAAAATTGTCTGTGCAAGTACACGTCTTCATATAGCCCCCACATAAAGGTAACTTCCTATATTTGATATTTTGATGATTTAGCGACATTATTCATCGGGATTGTTTCAAATTTGGTGTTTGAAGTTCGTAATGAACACTACAGCCTATGACAGAAAATTGTCTGAGCAGGTCCACGTCTGCGTATTGCCCCAATATAACATTACCTCCCTATATTCGGAATTTTTGATGATTTTGGCTACATTATTCACCGAATTTTTTTTATTCAAAATTCGCATTTGAATTTTGTAATGGTTTATGACAAAGTTGCCTATACAGGTCCACGCCGTCGTATAGAACCTAATATAACGGCTACATTCGGTATTTTTAAGATTTTAACAGAATTTTTAAGGGATTATGTTTTTTTTTGAAAATTGCCAAAATCGTTACAAATTGTGGAGGGTATTCGGCCCAGCCATTTCATTAACATTTTTTCAGGACTTTCTGTAAGAAAATCTTGTAATTTCAAACGTTTTTTAGACTACCTTAATTCGTGAATATCGGTCCTTGTTGTGACATAATTCATAACTAGATGTTCCGATGTATTTTATATGCCTTGATGGTCCTAGCCTCATTCCCAACTGAAATTACTGCACTTTAATATTTAGAAACCTTATTAGATTAAAAAACACATACTTTGTGAAAAATACTTAATGTAAGTTCAGGTTATACAATAGGCCTCATATAACGCCAGTCCTGGATGGCCTTCAATTTGGTGTTTTGAATTTGTTAATGCAGATGGGCCGAGCTCATATAATTTGTACATCTATAAGTGATTCAAAACATTTAGTTTGTAATTCGTGAATTCTATTTGAAACTTGAACGATTCCATATGAAATTAAAATTATCCCATTTGAAATCCGAATTTTTTGCATTTGAAATTCGAAACAAAAAATTACAACAACATTTTGCATTGGTTTCGAATTTGCTTTATATCAATATTTATATATTGTTTATTTAAGTCCGCTACGAAATGGACAATATTGGCCCATTCATTTGGAACCTACTCCATAGAGGGTCAACAATTTGAATAATTGTAACAGAAGTCAAAATATATTCAAATAATCGAACGTTGGCTGAGGGTATACATTTGTCGGTCAAACCGACTGATACTTTTTAACTTGTTTTTTCTTCTAATCGATATAATATAATATCAAATCCAATTTTAATTGGAAAATCGAATAACAAATTAAATTATCGAATTGCCAGTGAAATTTTACGAAATTTGACATCCAAAAAAGCTGTAGTGAATCTTGTCTTTTTTTCTATTTTCTCAGATCCAAAGGTCATATGTGTTTGTCTATAAAATCGATTTAGAAAATATATGTTTTTTTTGTGCAAATAATGAAAACTTAGGGTCATCAAAACTTTCATAATTTTTTCAAAAGAAAGTTTAAAATTCTCTACAAAAAATTGCAACGATTAGTAAAAATCATATTCACAAAAAATACTCACTATTTTCATGCCCATAATTTGTTATGAAATTTCACAACGGAAACGTATTACAAAAATACAGAAAACAAAAAAAAATCGTGGCGAAATTTCTAAAAATTGTCCATAAACAAAATTACCAAAGAAGCCATCGTCGTTTCAATATAATTATGAAAAAAAAAAAATTGAAAACAGAAAAAAAAAAAATTAATGTAACATTGACGTGAGCTGTGGGGCAAATTCAATATTGACTGACATTCATGTTTGAATGGCAACATTGAAAACAAAACAAGCAAAAGAAGAAGAGGACGAGTCGGAGCAAACGGAAATAAAATTTGTCTGAATTTATTTTTCTTGAAAATAAAAAGAGAAACAAAATTGAATCCGAAATTTTTTCCATCTTCTGAAATCATGAAATTTTATTTTTGTTTGACGCAGATTTCCGCTTCAATGGAGTGGATAATTAGATTGACCGTTTGTTTGTTTGTGTCTCGTGGCGAGTAGAGATGAGCTAAGGGAATACCAGATTTGTTTTTTTCACATTTTTGTGTTGAACTTACCTTCCTCAACAATTGATTGCCGGTGCTCATGCGTGCATTACGCTTGGGCAATTGCGGTGGAGTAGCAGTTGAAGAATTGCTCTGATGTTGTAGCTGTTGTAATTGATGTCGATTTGTGTTGGGATTTCGTAGATTCGCATTGACTTGTTTTTCTTCTTCTTCTTGGCGATATGAGTTTTTTATTTCGATTTTAATGTTATCCCCTTTGTGTTGGTGCTGCTGCAGCTGATTTTCGTCTCTCCGACTATTCCCCGTCTCTCCTTCGTAATAGGAGCAATTATCCTCATCACAACTGGACATACTACAGTAGCAGGGTAAGTCCTCATTTTCCTCATCCGCCTGGCGACCATCCTCCAAACAGCCATAGGAGTTGTTCCAAAACACCCCACTATCGGCTTGACAACAAGCCAATTGTTTGGAGTTATTCGCATTGGGCGCCACCACGACTGTACTTTGGGCCGAGGAGCAGGTAACGCAGCTGCTAATGTCACTAATGGCATCCGTACTGCTCAAAGATGACCCTGCACAGGCCCTTTGATCATCGGAGAGTACCGAGGAGGGGCGCTGGAAAAATATACCATTTGAGTCCGGGAATTGACAACAGCAATCACGTTCCGAATCGCAAATGGATTGATTGTCCCCACCATGGGAGCCTGCAGAACAACCCGATGATGAGCTGGAACTGGCCGAGGAAGCAGAACTACAACAGCTGCTAGAAGAACAGGTTGAGTGTGCAGTGGAATTCTGGGTACACACCGAGGTTTGGGAGACGAACGAGTGGGCCGAAATACAGGAGGATCGAGTCAAGTCATGGGCATTTTGGCCAGAGCTGCGCACAAAAATTTTCACCGAATTATCACCTGTGTTCAGAGGTTTCTTAAGTCCTCCAGCAGCTGCCGTGGGTGACATTTGTTCATTGATCATCAACGAATCGGCTTCAATAAAATCCTCATCCTGGTGATGATGATGATGCTCCCCACTCGTGTCCATTATCCAATCATCATCGATTTTGATTTTTGTCAAATTTTTCTCCGATTTATTGTTTTGTAAATTATTTTGAATTTTCAAACGTTGCTCGTTTTCAATATTGCACTGCTTGGTAGGAGTCGTCTTCGCTCCCATGGAGTTAATGGAGGTCAGGGATTTGGTAATGGAATTGTTGAGCGCCTCATTTGGTGTGGCCTTGGTGAGATTTTTCTTGGAAAAATTTGTAACATCATTGGGATCATTGGCTGTGTTGTAGTGACCCGAAAACGAGGTAATGGACGTCTTGCCCACTTGAATGGTTATGTGGGAACCCTTTGGCGGGTCTTCATAATCCTTGGGAAGTTTGTACTTATCATAGGCATAGGTGTCCGGCGGAAAGTGCTCGGATGCCTTTTTAATATCCGAGCACTTTTCGAGGTTTTTTAAATTATCCACCTTGGAGGAGGACGAGGAGGAGGTGGTGGACGAGAGGGGTTTCTTATGTTCATCATTCGAGGAGGAGACTCCGGAATCAGAATTACTTTCCAGCGATAAACGTTTCAGTTGGTCCTCTTCATGTTGCAAGTGAGTTAGATCGTGTTGCGACCGGGACATGGGACAGTTGGAGAAGTTGCAATTTTTATAGCCACAGGTATTTTTGTCCCTTTCCTCGACGGCCTTTTCCGGCCGTTTGTCATCGGGTTCGTTCAGCTGATTGATAATCAGCAGAGGTTGTCGTTTCTTCCGTATGTGCACCCTTTCCACCTTGGCCTTTTGATATTGTCCGGCCGGCAAGCGGGTGTTCCTCAAGAGATTTTGATCTATGTTAAGAGAAGGAGGAGGAGTTTCTGCCACAGAGGTTTTTTCATTGTCCACATATCTAAAGGCTTCCTGCCGATTATGGCTGGCTGAAGATCGGGACTCCTGTATGGGTTTGGGTATCCTAGATATGGGTTTCCTTGTCACAAATTTATTGGAATCTTGGGATCGTTTACTCCCCTCCTGTTCCGATTCCTGTTGCGACAGACATTCCAAGCACTCCTCCGAACTCTTAATACTCAAAGATTGCCGGAATCTATCCTGATTTTCGGGTTGAGGCGCCAGAGGCTTTAGCCTACGATTGGGCTCCTTGTGTGGCACTGGAGCCGGCCGACTGGGTTGTGGTGGCAATTGCCGGGATGACTGCTTTTGCTGCTCAAACATTTTATTGATTTTGGCCACGGCCTCCTTGGACTTGGGTGAACCATGTTCACATTCCGTCAACTCTATGCGGGCAATGCGATCTGCCCGAGATTTGATGCCAGCCCTGGCTATGTCACGCCGTATGTCACAGGTGGCAATGCGATTGCGATAATCCCAGCTATTGGATTTTTCCACATCCCCATTGATGGTGCTGTCCGATTCACAGCCCGTATCGCAGGATGATGAGTGGCAGCAACTGGCCGATGAATCGGAGAAGACAGAGACGGAACTGGAGGAAGTAGGGGGTTTAACAAATTTGGGTGGGGAGTTGGTGGTACGCTTTTGGGATGGTGGTGTTGAGGTGTTTTGCAAAAACTGCCAAGATTCCACGGTGGGTGGTGGCAACGGTGGCAGGGGTTTGTTGGGCGCCTCATAACGATTGACCACCGTTATGCGGGCCACATTTTTGCCACGCTGCTGTTGGGAGGGTATTAGTTGGACGGGAGGCAAACTCCGTTTATATTCCATATAACTGTAATTGGGTTTTGAACCTGTTTTCGTCATCAATGCCTCTTTACACTGATGCACATAATTCACCTTCAGTAACTCCATTTGGGGTACCTCTGTGCTGGACATACGCGAATCCAGGGTACTGTCCATGCCCACACTGGCCAGGGTTTCATTGGAGGGTTTGCGCTGGATGTGATGCATTTTGTTGGTGTTGGATTTTTTCATAATTATGTTTCGTGAAATTCGGGGGAGGTAAGGGGTAGTAATATTTTATTCCCAGGGGTTGAGGGACATTGTTTTGGTGTTTGGGGGGTTAAGGGTCTCGCTTTCTTTTCGAAAATTTAATTTTTGTTCGAAGATTTTGTTTTGGTTTAAAATTCGTATCAGTAATTTTCGTTGTAATTTTTTCTCTTCCTGGGAAATTTTTCACATTTTTGTCGTTTTCATGCAAATTTGTTGTGTTTTTGTTTGATTTATTTAGTTTAAATGTAGTCTAAGGCATGTAATTCTCATTAACTTCAAGTTCACCGAATATATATTCCGATTGTGTCTCAATTTCAAGAAATATTGAAAAGATCTCCTCCAGAAAGCAGATTTTTGTATGATTTATCACCAACACTTATTTCAAGGAATTTCCGTAACTTCAGTGCATGTTATGGTTGTAACATAAGGCAAATAATTCTCATTTAGTTTGGAAACTATGGAATTTATTTTAAAATCTGAGAAAATTTCAATTTTTAGTGGTGGTTTTTATTGTTGTTACAATTTTCAGATTAAATTGTGATTTTAAATTAGATTGCTCGTAAGTCTAACACATTTGCATAAGGCTTGTAATTCTCATTTACTTTAGACACTTTCAACTTTTTTTGTAAAATCCGAGTAAATTTCAAATTTTTGTTGTGATTGCAATTTTCAAAGAAATTACGTGATTTTCTTTTATTCCACTTTAGTCTAAAACATACGTTTAAGGCTTGTAATTCTCATTTACTTTGGGCACTTTAAAATTTGTTCGGCAATCCGAGAAAATTTCAATTTTTTTTGGTACTATTTTGTTTTTTAGGGGAATTGTAAACCTTTTTTACTCCACTGTAGTTTATCACATTCGTATAAGGCATGTAATTCTCATTTAGTTGGAGTTTGTAGTGAAATCTGAGAAAATTACAAATTTCAGTGATGGTTTTTGTTTTTATTGCGATTTTTATTATTTTATTTCCACTAAAGTCTACCACATTTGTATATAAGGCATATAATTCTCATTTAGTTGAAACACTACCAAATTTGTGGGGAAATCCAAGTAATTTTGAAATTAAAGTGGTCGTTTTAGGTTTTATTGTATAAATTTGACTCGACTTTAATATGCCACAATTTCTTAAGGCTTATAATTTTCATTTAGATTGCGTACTTCGGAGTTTGCTATAAAATTTTGAACAAATTTCAAATTTTGTTGTTGGTGTATGGTATTTATTGTTCTCATAGATATATCAACTATTTTTACTCCAATTGTATAAGGCTTGTAATTCTCATTCGATTTAAGCTAAATTCACTTTTGAGAGAATCCATTAAATTTCAGATTTTGATGTTGGTTATTGAAGATTTATATTCTCCTCATTGACAAATCAGCGATTCTATGTAGTCACCCTTTGTCTAAGGCAATTGTACACAGCTTATAATTCTCATTTGGTTAGAGCACATTCGATTTTCTTCGGAAATTCGAGTAAATTTTAAGGGTTTTTTTCAACAGGACCACCTAAAAAGTTTGTTTATGTTTCGATTTTGGTGTCTTGGGTAAATTTCTACAAAGGATATAATTCTCATTAACTTTATGAAAATCACATTGCATGTGGAACTCTTGGCATTCAATGTTGTTATGTCCTTGATATTCCCACAGAACTCTCGCCTCGCGTTATTATATTCCTTATTGACACAATCTAGTTAAAACTACTCCATATAATTCTCATAAAGTGTAATCCTTAGTCACTTAAATGAGTTTAATTAAGGGAGTGTCGTAGGATGCACTGCAAAGTTCATTAGACGTTGTGATTCTCATTAGCTGTGGGAATATGCAGTTTGACAGCTACAATCACCTTCAGCTGCAGCAGATTTGAGTGGGATTATCGTTGTGTTTATGGGCTTTTTCGGGGGTTTATTGTTTTTAAAGTCACACCAACACTTAAGGTTTTATATTCGTTTTTGACACAATTTCAGTTAATAGGCCATTTAAGAGCACAGCACAGACATTTAACCTTGGCTCTTCTTTCAATTTTTTTTCTTTACAACAAGAAAAAAATATATATTTTTTCTTTGCTCCAATTTACAGTTGGGATAAATTTTGTTCGATGGTTTCGCTTGGGGTTAGGGTTCGGTTTTCAACAATTGTAACACTTTCCGGTATTCGTTTCGTTATTTTTTATAATTTTTATTTTTTGTTTTTTTAACTTTTCAAACAAACATTGAATGGTCAATAGAGATTGAATAATAACAACGATAAAACAACAATATTTTGCATAATTATATAAAACAATAATATATATCAATGACGAACGGCAACTATAATCCACAAAAACGAGGCACAGATTAATCAATGGGTTTTACAAAAAATATATTTATTTGTTGGGTTTTATATTTTCAAATACATTTTAAAGCCAACTTTCCACACAATTGTTTACACCGCGTATTGTGAAGAAAGCCAGAAAGAAAAATATGTTAAACTCCGATTATTTCCGAATCGTGTTTACCATTCGACGAAGTCTTAAATCAAAAATGTTAACCGTTTTCTTCTTCTTTTGCTTTTGTTTCGTTTTCAATCATCCGTTTTAATGTTGTTTAACCGTCCATAGTTTGTTTGCAACTGTTTGTGTGATGGCAGAGCTAGTTGGCCAACAGCTATGTTGCTGGCACTGATCGTATACAACATACAACATGTTGGCTTCATACCGCGCTTGTTTTGGGGGTATGGGAATTTTATGTTACGCTTGCGCCGCAATAAAGATCAACAGTTCATTCTTGTTTGACAAGTTTTTTTTCTGGGTTTTTATGGAGGTAGCAGGCATTTGCGAGTGATAAAGTTTATACAGCGGGGAAGAAAAAAATAGCACACAAAAAAACTTCTGGCTATAATAGGGCATAATAAATCTTCTGGCCCTAGAAAAGCTTCAAAGGTTTTTCGGCTATAGAAGTGCTTTAGGAGGTATTTTGACCATAGAAGAGCTTTAGAAAGTCTTCTAGACAGAGAAGAGCTTTAGGAGGTCTTTTGGCTATAGAAGAGCTTTAGAAGGTCTTCTAGCCAGAGAAGAGCTTCCGAAAGTCTTCTAGCCAAAGAAGAGATTCAGAAGATCTTCTGGCCATATGAGAGCTTTTGAAGGTCTTCTGGCCAGAGAAGAGCTTCAGAAAATCTTGTAGCTATAAAGCTTGTTCTGCTATAAATAGAAGAGCTCCAGAAAGTCTTTTTTTCATAGAAGAGTTTCAGAAGGCCTTCTATTCATAGAAGAACTGCAGGAGGCCTTCTATTCGTAGAAGTGCTGTAGAAGGCTTTCTATTCATAGAAGAGCTTCAGAAGTCCTTCTAGTCATAGAAGAGTTTCAGAATGCCTTCTAAAGAGCTTCAGAAGGTCTTCTAGTCATAGAAGAGCTTCAGAAGGTTTTCCAGTCATAGAAGAGCCTCAGAAGGTCTTCCAGTCATAGAAGAGCCAAAGAAGAAATTCAGAAGATATTCTGGCCATATGAGAGCTTTTGAAGGTCTTCTGGCCAGAGAAGAGCTTCAGAAAATCTTGTAGCTATAAAGCTTGTTCTGCTATAAATAGAAGAGCTCCAGAAAGTCTTTTTTTCATAGAAGAGTTTCAGAAGGCCTTCTATTCATAGAAGAACTGCAGGAGGCCTTCTATTCGTAGAAGTGCTGTAGAAGGCTTTCTATTCATAGAAGAGCTTCAGAAGTCCTTCTAGTCATAGAAGAGTTTCAGAATGCCTTCTAAAGAGCTTCAGAAGGTCTTCTGGTCATAGAAGAGCTTCAGAAGGTCTTCTGGTCATAGAAGAGCTTCAGAAGGTCTTCTGGTCATAGAAGAGCTTCAGAAGGTCTTCTGGTCACAGAAGAGCTTCAGAAGGTCTTCTGGTCATAGAAGAGCTTCAGAAGGTCTTCCGGCTATAGAAAAGCTTCAGAAGGTCTTCCGGCTATAGAAGAGCTTCAGATGGGATTCTAGTCGCAGAAGAGCTTCAGAAGTTCTCTGGCCACAGAAGAGCTTTAGAAGGTCTTCCAAGTATAGAAGGTACAGAAGAGTTTCCGAAGGTTCTCTAGCCAAAGGACAGATTTTGAAGGTCTTTTAGGTATAGAAGAGCTTTAGAAGGCCTCCTGGTCATAGAAGAATTTCCGTGCTTATAGCAGAGCTTTAGCAGATCTACTAGCTATAGCAGAGTCTTCAGAAGACATTCTACTTACAGAAGAGCTTCAGAGATCTCGTAAAGATCTTCTTAATATAGAAGACTTTCGCATGCGTTTCGGATGATACATTTTTCATGTAAAACTTTTCCACTGCTATTATTTTCAACACAGCTATTTACCTGAATACTCATGTTGATGCACTCCAGTTAAACAAGGAATGGTGAAAAAGAAGTCAAATACAAAAAATCGAAGTTTAATGACCACATCTTATATTTCTCTATAATAGCGTGTGTTCCTCCTCTTCTTTTCCTATCTTCCTCGTTCCTTCTATGGTCGGCCAGCCGTGCCTGTACACTCAAGGAGTCCGGCAACAGCAGCTGAATTCTGATTTATTTTTGGGAGGGCATAAATTATCCAAAGATGACATCAAGTGTGCGTGTGCGCATTTGGCTCCAACAGTGTTGGGTTAGTGTGTGCGTGGTTTTGAGTCATAAAAAAGTGGATAAGAATATTCTTCCATGTTGCGCCACAATGTCCAGCAACTAGGAAATGGCTAACGAAAAAGAGAATGAAGCGAAGCCCTTTCATATTGAAATGGTTGCAACATAAAATTTGTGTATGAGCCTAGGCTGTGGCCAAGGCAGGGATTGGTATTGGAGGCAAGCATAAATCAATTTGTGGCCATCCCATGCCATCTGTCCACCAATATTGGTAATAAAATCCGACATTAATGGCCGGTTATCTCTGTTGTTGTGTGCGGTGTTGTAAGATATGGGATGATTAATTGTTGTCTTGAATGGAGGTGAATTTGGAAAATGTAAAAACATTGTTTGATATCAGTCATTCGTCAGTTAGTCAGTCAGTCATTCACTCACTCAATAAATTGCTTAATCACGACGAGATGAGGTGGTAGCCTAAATTGGTGAACAATTTGTATTAAATCTTTTGTTTGCCAAGGAATTTCTTTTGATTGTTGTATTTGCGGTCAGTGTATGGTTGCTTAGTTGCCT